AGCAATGACGTCATTGATATTTCGGTACTACATGTAGTATACAAATGTTACATTAAAAATTAACGTTCTCAAGGGCCCGTATTCATGAAGCCGTTCCCATGCTCAAGCATGGATTTTGTGCTGAAGCCTTTTTTCTTGTTCTGGTTATAACTCAATAAATAAATCTTATTTTGTCAATGATTTGGAAACATTTTGAAGAGACTTAAAGCCAAATACTGTTTTCAATGTTTACATTTGACTTTTTCATCGTTTGACATGATCTAATCGAGTTACCAGAAAGTTGGTTTGAGCACAGATTCCATGCTTGAGCATGAGAACAGTTTGATGAATACGGGCCCTCGTGTAATACTGCGGAATAGAAATTCCTTAGTGTCACGACTAAATAAGATCTGAGGATCGACGAATATGTATACGGGTAGGGAATCAAAACGTTTGGTATTGTTATAGGGGCAAAATAACTAACGGCCGTAAGAACATTTGATCAACATTTGCTATGACCCTACCACTCGTGAATAATGTGTCTTGTCATAGTCAGTATAATTACGCGTTGTCCTGTGCCACAAATCTATCCAATTTACACGACTGCGGATTATTTCTATAAGCGTCTGAGATACAAGTACGAATCATTGTATGACGAGATTCAGAAGTAAATCGAGTTAAACATTGGCGCTATAAGAAATGACAAATTAATCGAGGGTAATAATACTGTGATTTGATCGCTTATTGCTAAAAAAAACAGTGGCTCCGCAAGGTTTTCATAGGTACCAAATGTAGATGTTTTCTCAGTGACCTGTACACTGTACTTTGTGCACGCATGCGCAACAAAACAAGGGGTAATAACTTTGTACTAGAACGCAATGGCAGCGTTTCTAAGATATTTGAAGGGTTATTTTTAGACAAAACAATCCTCAACTCAGAAATTGTATTTGGTTAATTTTGTCTGGGACATTTTAAAGGTTACATCAACTTCACGTTTCACAATTACCCGTATGTAATACCGGCGTCTGTACTACAAACAAGTGAGTGCTTACAGAATGCACACGATCGTGGCGACGGTTGCGTCTTAAGCAAAACTACAATAGTACATTTTCACTAAATAAGTTATTGCATATTTACCAGTAGGTTAATTTATAATATTTCCTCAAATGACAGTCTCACTATGATTATGCAAGGTCAGACAGTCTTGCAAGTATATCACAAATCAAGAAATATGTTTGCCCATCATAACGATGAATTATGAATACGCCAAACAAATGCATCAGGCAGAATCTTTACATAAAGTAAGCATGCCTTTAGTTGGAATCTCTTACATATTAACAGTAAAAACAATATGAGCTATTTATGTTCGGGAAGTAGTTTACACGAAAACGATAGACAGTAACGGGAAGCAGGTTAATAATTCCCTTCGTTATGAACGTAGCATTCTATGTTATTGCAGATTTCTGGTCATTTCATTTTCTTTCAGTTTATATATTTACATTTGCATGGCATTGTCACTATATAGCCTCTTTGAAAGCTGTGTCGTTGATGGGACTTTAATAACCATGCAACACGAGACACAATTCTTTGCGTATTAATACAACACAGACCGGAACTACAATATCCAATGTAAATAAACATGACGGCTGTGGAAATATCGCTGGGCATTGTGAAACTTGACAATTTAATTGTAAATTTATGTGCAAAAGAAGAAAGAAAATAAAAAATACTTTTATTACAACAAATACAAGACTGTACAAAATGCACATCGGTTGAAATCACCAGTGCCGGCAATGGAAACAATTTAACACTCATGCAATTTATCAGAAATATCGTCTGTTACACTGCACTGATCAACAGGGTACAAATTTCTGAAATACACATATTCTATAGACCTACTGACACATATGTCACAGACCTACTGATATGAGTCACAGTACATGGACATTTCAGACATTTGTAACGAACCCCTGTGCTCCGTAGCAAGATCACTCACTTTCAACGCTATCAGTTTCACGCGTCTCGCAGCCACGGTTTCCTCTGTTTCTGACGACATGTCAAATAACGAGGCTGTTATAGAATCTACCGACTGTAGTCAGATCCCCATACAATCAACAAATAAATTCACGTCTAGATTCTTCACAAAATGAGCAAAGAGAAAAGTTCGAATTAACTTCCAAAAATAACTCCCTAGTGGAGGGCAGGGTCGGATTTACGGTGTTCGCTGTATTTATCCATGCGCGAAATTTGTTCCGGGGAAAAATCGAAACAATTTCAAATCTTACTTTCAGCTCAGAGTTCTGTTGATAAACTTAAATCACCCTATAGACATATCAAACGCAATTGTATTGATACTGAATTGTGGAATAAAATTGAAGTGTTTGTTAAAATTTCAAAGTACTACTTTGTTTGCCAATCCGCACGCGACACTACGCTGTTCGAACTATTGAATGAAGTTGTGTTGACTTTCGATAAGGCGGGCATTTTTAATTATAAATATAAATTATAAGTTAAAAAAGAACATAAGAGGCAGAGAAAACGTAAATATAAGTATTGAACTGTTTTTGTATGGGGTTTATGATCTATTTAAATGACACAGCTTTGCAAGCAAACAAATCATAATTCGCGAGCGCGCATTATGATGTTTGCTTGCAAAGCTGCGTCATTCAAATAGATCATTAATACCATACAAAAACAGTTCAATGCCTAAATGAAAGTTTTGAAAATCTATAAAGTGTTTTGCAGAAGATGTTTCGCTTTTCCACACACTGAAAGGTATCATAAATTAGATATGTTTTCGTTTGGAGTTTTCGTTTCTCTTTGGATTGTATATCTTCTTTTGGCAAGGAACACGTTTTAAAATTCGATTCGGTTATCTGGCTGTGAAGTCTTCCATCCTTTAGGACTATGGGTACCATTCGGAACTCATCGATAAAAGCTAAATTTATAAACGGAGGTGACATTAAATAGTGCACATACGGTATTAACGTCACGCGTGTTTTGGCGGGTTTTCTTCAAAGATATAGGTAGCTTATCCAAATACAAGGGTACATATGTTATTTGTAGTTATATTTATGTAAATACAGCTATATGCATGTATATTGATATACACAGTGGACTGGTCGTCAGAATTGGGATATAAGGAGTCCTTTTCACATCATTTCCATGTTACTTGTTCCCCTAATCACTTATATACTGAAAACGTACTAACTTTAGCGTACTCAAATTTTAACGGCATTATCGATTTTTCTTACAAATTAGCGAATTGATGATTTGGCGCATTTACAATATAAGTAAGAGAATACACCATACAAAAATTGCAATTTTGCAATCATAAGCCAGAACAATACTTTGGACGCGCAAACGCTAAAATAAGATCACCGCCAAAATAAGTACGCTTACAATAATTTGTTGTTTACGAATGATGAGTTAAATCAAAATAATTAAGCTCTTTTATAAAATTTGAATCCATGATCCGTTTATCATTTTAAAGCAACTGTGCATACATTGTTACTATACCGAACATTTCAGTCTATAGAAATATCCAGTATATATACATTTGTAATATTCATGTCAATAAGACATTTTTTATTTATTTTAAAAATAAACTGTTTGTACTGAATCACCGCTTAGAGTCTGGACATTTTTAGAGTTTTAGAGCCTGACATTTTTAGAGTCTGACATTTTTAGACTAGCCTAATTCAACCAGATCCTGGAAAGGTTGTCTGGGAATACACTCAGTGTCCAACAAACAAAGTACCCTCGCTCGCTCAGACAAAATATTATTTATACCACTTCATCTGAAGATTAGCCTGACTACCTACCCTTTCCGTCCGTCAGACCAAGAGGTCAGTCCGGGAGCATGTTATTTAATTTGTCGTACGGTAATCGGATTTCCTTTTCGCAGTTTCGCACCAATGGAGGAATAAATGTTATTTGCATTAATCATCTACTGGAGATATTAACTTACTTCGGCCAGTGTACACAGACAACAGCCAGAATGATATAATTTGAATATTTATCGCGTGTCTGGCTGGGCGGTAGTTAAGACATTGGACAGGTCTCGCCAAGGTCTCGCCTTTTTTCTTTACCCTCTGCTGTCCAGCTACACATAAGCCCAATTTTCAAACAATTGTATTAATGAATCGGTACCTCAAATTAAAGAAATGTTTTCAAAATGACCCTTTTTGTATTCTTTGATTTTTGTCTTCTTTTCTGTACTACAATCAACTTCCATGTAATTCAACGCGTGTTTTTTTTGTATAACAATTTCAGAAACGTCCTTGAGCTTGAAAAACTGAATTTTGTATTTAGTATTTAAGAAGTAAATATAAAAGCTTAATATAGAATCGAAATTACTTAAACGATGTTTTCACCAGCGTAAATGTATTTCAATAAAATTGCGAGTAAAACATTAGCTAAAAATAGCCCGAAACAGTTTAAAATACAGGTAATTGTAGAAGTTCAAATTTTGTATCCGATGAGTGATTTTTGGTGTATCTTTATTCAACTTGGTCCACTTTATTAAAAATAAACAAGGTTGTACAAAATATGTTTAAAATATAAACATAATTTATTAGAATTAGTATTACTATAACCTCATAAAGAATATATTGCTGAAATATAGTGACCCTAACTCCAGTTTCCAATCCAAGAAAAAAATTGCAGATAACAATGACGTTACAAACAGAAGAAGATTTAACAAATCTCTGCCTAGACTTTAGCTTAAACATATTTTGCTGTCGTTAAGCGACAGTGTCTGGTACAAGACATAAACACAAATTCGTAAAAGGAACGATAACTCTTGGTTTGATCATCACAGTACTTGTTCTGATCTGTGTCGAAGACCGACTCGACGTTCCCTCTCCAAACCACCTTTTTCACTACTGCTCACAAGTCTGTAGGTGTATTCTGTATTGACACAATGAAATTACTTTTATAAATGAAAATGATATAATTTCATTTACTTCAATGACAATAACCATCTGCTTGATAAGGCTTTGGCGTCCTCTCTTTGGCAGTAACCTTGTGGAAGCACGTGATGTCACAATGTTCGGAGGCGCACGCAGTGGCCTGTTCTTGGTCCCTGCTTCATCTACGTCACTATGAGGGGCTGCTCCAGCCCCTTGGGGGCTTCCTTCCCGATTACAACGAAACCACGCTAACGGAGATATGTGGGTACGTACTAAGTTAGGTAAAAACCATACTGTAAATGTATATAATTAAGTGGTCCTCCTATTTAAGCGCTTTCATCGCACTAAATATTGCACTTATTTTTATTGCGCCAACTACAATGTAATTCACGCATGTTTACCACATACTTTTGTAGACTAAGCGTTATATTTTTGCGATTAGCTTTCCTGCATTAGAGGTGTATATTACAAAAAAAGTATATACATGTATCTTCTTTTATCACACAATGTATAGTCCCTACATGTATATTCCTTTGCCAAATTGATGTTCACAAGCCCTTTGCATTTCATGCATTTCAACATTATTTCAGTGAATTTACCTGAAGTCAATTGTCATAACACAGATACATAAATAAATACTTCTTGAAAGAAAAATGTCTGATTTGTTTCCCTCTCAAGCAATTTTCTTTTCTTTCCGTTGAATGGTTTTCAAGATATGACAAATTATTCAAAGGAAATTATTTATGTTGGGTCGTGATCTTCATTATCTTACCAATTTTCTTTTTTTTCTTAAATGTTAATGCCAAGATTTTCTTGTCATCTTTTGAAACCATACAACAGGATATTTTGGAAATTTTAACAAATAAAAATTCAGACAATTTTCTTTCATGTTGCAAATTCTAATTTCAGTAGTGTTAAATATAATATTGACTGAAGGAAAATTGGCTGAAGACAGGTGAAAATGCTCAACATATTGAAAGCAGAAAAGCCCTTGTGTTATGTAATTTAGCACGAGACTACATATGTTACTGCTAGGAGCGTTTTATTGTTGTGGTTGCCTGATCTTTTCTATAACTACATATTAATACGTACAATGTATAAAAACCGATAATATTACGGAGGTTATTTTGTCTCTTGAGTGAGCGATTTATTTTTATGGTGATATATTCTTTACTTTCTACACTGAGCGATTTATTTAAACGTTACATACAATCTATTCTTGAGCCTACGTGTAGGTGAATATAAAACTGTATACCGGGTTTCTTCGCCTTTCATTTGTTAAAAACTTTATTCGCCCAGCATTCATTTCGCCCTTCACAAGTATTGACTATTGTATTTTGTGTATCAATATTCGCTGCATGAAAGAATTCGCCGCGATAATAAAAGACAAAAAAGGCAGAAGTTAAACTGCGGCGAAGATTTCCCGGTAAGTGTTGTATCACAACCAGTGCTTTATTTTGGCGGTACCGTAGTCTGTTTCAGAACTACATGAGATGTTCGGAGCCATATCTTCAACATTGCAACAATAACACAGTATTTCAACTCTACGAACTGGAAAGTGCCTTCAAACCGCTGTGTAAATATGCCAAAGGTTAGTGTGTATGATATACCTCGTTTAATCTTACTCTGCGGATCATGCTCAACATTTTAGTGGTAACTTACACTCTCCTAACCTCGGTGAGAGAACGTATGTGAGCGTACCCCTTTAAATGTCGAGGATGGTCATGACGGAGAAATCTTGGCGTAACACCCTTCCTTTCACCATTTCAATCGAAACTTGCTTCGCCTCTTAAAGCTATACTTATCCTCCTTTCTCTCTTACATCCATGTTCTCTCCATCCATCTATTTTTCGTTTACCATTTTCTTTTGGTTTCTCAGGGTCTGCCTCCTCCTCTTCCCCTACCATTGGTATAACGATCATCACTCCTTCCCTCAACATTCGTTTTTTTAACCTACCCAACGTTCTTTCCAATTTTTCGTTCTCTCTATCACCAACCCAACCTTGTCACCTGCTCATTAGCCTCCCCCTTCTGGACTTTTTATAATTCGTGTGGATAGGACACATATAATGCTTTCCAAAATGAAACACTAATATCTATCAAAACTACATTGCACTTATATTATCGTGTTTAGTCTGCACTAAACCCAACAGCACACATAGGTTATACTCTGCTAGGTTTTTTGTCGATAAAATAACAAACACTTAAATTGTCGAAAATGAGCATTCATTCTAAATGCCAGAAGTCGAACATATTTATACATCTTTGTGTTGATTTTTATAATAAGGTGTACAAAGAACCAAAAAAGATGGGGCTTGCTTCAAAATAAACGCCATTTGTACAGTAATTAAAAGATGTACAACAAATGAAACAAAATTTAAAACAAAGATGTGCCACAATTACATTTTTACACAATAGTACATAAAGGTGGATACAAATTTTTAAGGAGATTTTCTGCACAGGTCACGTGACTGTAGTACACCAAAACATCACGTGACTACTTCTATAGGGATGGACTACTTTAAAAAACGGAAAGTTATCCTCCATCAGGAACCAACAAAATACAACAAATAAAAATAGCATATACTAACCAGATAATATAAATTACTTTATGCATTGCATAAATACAATGATATTATCGTGTTAAGTCTGCACTAAACCCAACAGCACACATAGGTTATACTCTGCTATGTTTTTTGTCAATTAGCACTCCTTGGAAATTTGTGTGTGATCGAATGTCGGTAAAGAGCTTCCTGACTGAATTAATCAGTAGAAATACAAAGATATCAAGCGCCTATTTGAAAAGAGTGCTTGTAGATACAGAAGCCAAACAAAGCAAACATTTGAATGCACCATATGGCCATATCGGACTCATTAGTGGTATCATACATGCAAGTCAAAAGAATGAAGAAATTGTTTTCGAAAATATTTAGAACACAGCGAAACAGCAAAATATGCCTATTAAACACTTTGTAACGTTGCTGGGTTGATTTATACTTAAACTAGAATTTCATGTAACCCCTGTCAGACTAGGTTCCATCTAGATGGTCCAATAGCAGAGTCAACCACTCTGTTACCTACAATATTCACTAGTAATACGAAAAATGACCTTCAGCATAAGTCAGTCATACGAGCACGAATACTAACTAACGCATTAATAAATATCTCGCTGGCTGGAGACTGAAGGTCGATAATACCTTGGACAGTCTGGTCTACGAGTACGCGTATTATACAAGGAGATTTATACGGATCGAAAAAAAGGTCCGGTCGGCCTGTTCTTGCGTAAAAATAAACCAATAAATGACACCCCGCTTTAATTGGTACAGGAATCTATTAGGCAAGTTGATGACCACAATGCGCGTCAGGAAAGAACGTTAGTGAAACTAGGAAATCTTTAGATCCGAAACAAATGTCAAGTCAACATATTCGCGTATAATGTTTTTCTGAAGAAATTGTAGGTAAGCGATAACTGGAACAAAACAGATGGCCGGTCGGCCGGTTCAGATATTACAGGCCAGTAAATGACACTATGTGTGTCTAGCAGTCCTTTGAGAAATAGTGCACTTATATAACCCTCGCCATCAAGACAAACACAAATAAATTTACCATATATCGATAACTTTTGCCGACTTTCACGATGAAAAAGGTTGTATATATACGTTTTGTCAGCAATTCAATTTAAAACAGACACAAGACCAAACGCTCGGAACTAAATTGTTTTTATGCCTATCACTAGCAGCTGTCAATATATTTCTGTATTAATTTCCTACGTCATTATCTTACTTCAATTTTAGAAACATGCTATGTTTGATCACGACTGTTTGGATATCTTGACTCTTAAGTAAAAATACCAGGCATGAAGTATACAAAATAAACTGATTTCGTACATGTTGATATTACACAGACTGGGATACATACAATCAAGTACCATATTGAAAATTGAGTATCACATCACCAATATCCATTAAATAGGATTTAAGCTGTTTGATCAAAATGTTACTATTAAAACGGGATCACAGTACAAAACAATTTTTATAGGGGCAGTCATCCTTAAATTCACTTTCACGTGTTATATGAATGGAGAGCTAACCAAAACGCTCCCTTTCTTCCAAATGATGAAATATTTCCCGAAATTAAGTGGAAAATATTTCTTTAATGTGCAAGACTAGATTTAAGTCTTCACATATGTCTCCAGGCTTGGTTTATCTGTCACAACTACTCTAGGTCTCTATCTAATCGAGTATGCCTTTTATCAATTTTTCATTATACCTAAGTTTAATTTGAAGCTTTCACAACAGCAAAAAAAATCTGTTTGATTTTTTTTTTACACAAAAGGTACTGATTTAAAACAACATTTTATACATTTCTAACGTAATATTATCTTGGTTTCGTTGGCAGAATATTTTTGACTTTTTTGAGCTCTAGCATATAACGTAAACCATCAGCAGTATATCAAAAAATCAAATAAATAAAATAAAAACTGTTAACTAAATTGACACATAACCTCATATTAGTACCAAATGAGAGCCTTAAAACAAATTCAAACCTGTTTTTAAAAACTTTGATTTGAAATTACGAATATACTATACTGTCATTTGATATAATTGTAACATCCGTGAATCACAGCTAGGATGCATTTTAATGAAGAATTTCACAGGATGTTGGGGGTAATTTGTATAAATATGTATGACGGTTTGAACTTCTCACTGCATGGCCTATCCTGTGGACGTCGTCACATTGTACAGCGATTGTTTGACAAGCCGTTGGGATAACACTTAGAAATGTAGCAGAGATGACGATCTTAAGTATGGTGGCTTATTAGGGTCACTCTCGCTTTTTCGCCTTTTCGCTTTGTCGCGGTAACGAAGCGAAAAAGCGTCGTTTTATTTTCTGTTTGGCGTTTTGTCGTGCCCCAAATTAAAAAAGCGCAGTTTCTTTTTCTTCAAAGACGCTTTCTCACCTTGACAAAGCGTAATTGCGACGTTTTCTTTTGAACGCATTCTTATCGCCGCGAAAAAGCGTCGTTTAAAAAGTTGCAAAAACGAAGAGCGCCATTTATAGCCGCTAATTTGTCCTCTTTGCGTCGCTTTTTCGAGGTAGATACGACGTTTTTTTGTTTCGTTGCTGCGACGATACGAAAATGCGAAAAATTAAAGTGACCTTATCAACCACCATACTTATGTGAATATTTTATTTTGTTGCAGAGTACGTAGCTCACAGGTCGTGTTATCAACGGCTGGAGACGAATTTTGAGTGGTGTCAGGAGGAGCGACAAAACAAACTAGGGCAGAAGAAAACCACAGACATACAGTACCACGCATACATGTGCAAGTACGTGCATCTTATTTGCTTCCCGTGCACTTAAAGTGCTAAACGATATAAAACATGATGTGTTGCAAATCAAGTTTATCCAAAATGGCCGTCATTTTGATGACGTCATAAAATACGGCAGTCGCCGTTGCCTGAAGTCCACCAAACATTTTTGTATAAGGCATGATCAAACATGAAATAAAATAGTGTCCATATTTCATACCGAAATTCACATTAAAACGTGAGGGAAATGAAGAAATCAGAATTAAAAAATGGATAAATAAAATTGACAGGGTATGTTTCAAAATGTATTTCGATTCTCTATTTACAAATGCAATACATAAAACAGCCAAGTTACATCAAATCCTTATTATCATGAATTTTACTCCAGGATAATTTAATTCCTATATTTTCGAGTTAGGTCCAAACACAGACCATTCATTAAAGGCCAATATTTCGCCAACTTTCTCTCTGGAGTCTGTTTACCTTTCATTTAACTACAAATTCACCCGAATTTAAATTCATTCTAACCATCCCAAGTTATAAAATTTACAAATAAAAATTTCTCTCGACGCCGAATAATTGAATTACTTGGTAACTAAATAAATATAAAACAAACCGATATTATACATGGCTATCTGCCCGGCTCGTTCAGATAGTTTTATTAGTGGGTATCTGCCCGGGATTGCGTGTTGGAACATCGTGCTCCAGTCTGTGTGCCGTTCATTTATACGTAATGCACTATTGAAAGTGTATATAATCAATTGTCTGAGATAAATATCAATATCTCAGTAACGATCTTTGTAGTTGTTCCAGTATGTTGGTGGAAACATGATTGTAAGTTCAGCAAGTACAATACAATTTACAATTCGAGTATTCGTTATGATTGTAATTTCAGTCTGAATAAACAGGGGTTTCTATGGAAACATCAACAAAACTAGAGAATATTCGACAGAAAACAATAGAAATCCCAAGTTTCGGTGTCATCGATTAGGGAACACGAAAAGGATAAAATCAGAAGGATCATGAACAAGGATTCAGCAGACTTCAGCTCATATCCCCCGTAATGTAGTTGTTTTCTCTAATTCCTTTGTGTTTGTGACAAAACTGTCCCACGTGCGTGGCGTCACAAAGGGACAACAATGATATGACGTCTCGAAATCTCGAACGTTCAGATGCCGCAATGCAGAAATTGTGACCATTTAGTGTGGTTTCTGAGCTCGTTCTGGTAGTTAAATGAGAGGGTCATTCTCTTCCATGCCCAGGGGTGTAGAATAGTAAATTACACTTTCGGAATGTTCAAACTGGTCTTGTTTACATCATTCACAGACTTTTCAACCTCTAAAATGGTTGACTTCTCTCTGTTAAGATTTTGTTTTCATTTTTAAAGAGAACACATTTAGCTATCAAGTAAGATATTCTGTGGTGGATGTTCTTTGTAGGATACTTTTTGCAACATCTCAACTCATTATTTTTCTGCATATTTTCCATACTGTTTGCCACATTCTCGAAACCAAAGGGTTTCGTTCCTAATACGAATATCTTCTCTGCACCGCTGGAATATGTTGTGACAAAATCAAAGGCAAAACAAGACACCTGGCGGATAATACAGGTAGAGTGGTCTGATGTCTTCGATAAAATTTGTTGGATGCAATTCCTCTGTAATCTTCAAAGGGACAGGCATCAGCCTAGCGATTGGTCAGGTTTATATACATGAAACATATAAAATAGCTTACCGCGAACCCTCGATTTTGTCATTACATATTCTAGGGTTTTTCAGAGAAGTTTGTTGTTCAAGAGTAGAATTCTTGGATTTCTAAGATGTGTTTGTCCTCAAATTTATATGACGGTCCAACACAACTTATATTCAAACATTGTGTTCATTCTATTTATGCGTTGTTCGATGTTTTATTTTGCAGCGTGACAAACGAGTACGTCCAATGCATTTTCACAGCGACGTTCTTGAGATGTTCAATGGGTGCTGCTAATATTTATTACGACATAATTAACCAATCAGTATCTTCTTTATTGACTCATGTGACGTCATTCCAGTGTGTTATACGTCATCCGCTTGAAGCGATACCGGTGTTTACCACCACGACCTCTACAACGACAAGGGCGACAACTCCAATGGAGGCTACGCTAAGGAAAACTACAGATCCTGCTTTGGAAAGTACTTCGAGAAATTCCCATCATACATCAGGGAGCAACGGACATTTCCCTAGTTGTCTGTGTATAGCTTTGTTAATCACAATCAAAATGGTTTTTCTATACCAGACAAGTATATGGACGTAGACGATCTCTATTTTCAAAATAAGGAGCAGAAGATGTTGTTTTTTATTTTTGTGATAATTTTGTATACGGGATGAATTCGAATGCGAAATGTATACTACATATCAGATAAGTTCCATCATTAAGAGTGTGGTTCTGACATGTATGACATGCACGGAGGCGCACGAGATTCACACATCAATGTACATTCATTTCATTTTTAAATGCATTGTAGAATGTCTCATTCGTTTTATTAATACAAGTACGGACATGATAGTCACGTGATCCGACATTGAAATTCACAAATTAAGTGTCATTCATTCATATTTTGTCGGATAACTATTTTCGAGTTCGCAAGGAATGAGAATTTCGCGAGATTTATTCTAAATATAATGTCATTTACTGATATTTTGGCGGATAATTATTTTCGCGATACTTCACGCAGACTGAGTATTTCGCGAGATTCAGTGATAATGATCGCATTGATTGGCGGGTAAAATCGATTGATCATGCAAACATCTTAAGAATAACTATTAAACGTTTAACACATAGGGGAATGGAACTTTTCCATTTTCAAATTTAAATCCTCACTAACTCGTTGCTGACTTCGAAAAACCAACCGTGAAAATAAATGTTCTTAAAAATGAAACTATTTACAGAACGTGACAATGCAATGTTAAATTTTGTTTACGATATAGGGCTTTTTACTAATGATACTGGCCTATACACATTGTAGATATAAATACATATTTTTTTAGGAGAACTCTGTTTCGGTTGTTTGAAACATATCAATGTAACAATGGAACCCATATTTTTTAAATATTGAGTTCTGATTTTCAGAATTATTGAAATTAATATTTAAGCATGCATATATGTCAAATGATTCAAAATGACCACCATGAGATAAATAAATGATAAATTCATTTTTTTGCAGTTGGACGGGAAATTAACCATGATACAAAATTTTGTTTGTGTGATTGATTTTGAAAATATCATCACTGGTTCCTTAATTATCTTTCTTTGTAGACTAGTTATCGGCTTTAGTTTCGCTATTCTCCACCAGGGCGCGTTATGCGTGCAATGTAGACCACCGTCAATAAATAGCTATCAGAATCGGTAGATCGATCAAGAATCCCGACTGTTTCAGTTTCTGTATGGCTTCAATTTACTGTCTAGACCATAACACTAACGACCGGCTACGATATCATGATGGACGTTATCCATTGAGTGGTCAACCAGAAATAGTCACTCATTTCAAGAATAGGACAGTGCGAACAAATGTGTTGACAAAGACATTGGTTTGATAAATGTCTGTATACAGCATTAATACAAACAGAAATAGTTCCGTATATTATGTTATTTATGTTTTTATTAGGAATATTTGCTTTCTGAAAATGTTTTCTGTGACAAAAGATTTCCGCAAAAAAACCTACGCTTTGATACAGTACATGTTCATCTTCGCTGTTTACATTTTCTCTTGCTTGTTTTTTTTCTCGGAGCTGACAAACACACCAGCTTAATTCAAATATATAAACGTCTTTTTTGTTCTTTAATAGAAATCAATGCCATATGAAAAGTAAGCGAAGTTAGTGCTCTGTTTATCTCAACCATGTAAAATTATTGTATAAATATATTTTTCCAATGCATCGACTAAGCTTGGACGTCAACATTTTAAAAAAATTGACGTCATATTCATTGTTCTGATTATGACGTCACAATAGTCTGATCCAATTAAAATCGTACACTAGCGTACACGCGAGTATAAAATAGGTAGTAAGCGGTGGTACAGTGTAAGATTGAAATTCTTGTTCCCCTCACAATTTAAAATGCTTAATGATCCCCATACCACTCACAAAACCTGTAACCACGCATCAAAAACTGTTTCCCGGGGTGACTAGAGCTTTGATGATTCCGTTCTAAATAAATAACCAAACCGGCCTTGTACAAAATTTACGAAAAAAAATATAAAGATGAATTAAACAGAAAATAATCAACAACAATGTTCCGAGTGTTAAAATGCAATGGGGCCAGGCGAGGATTCGAACCCGGACCTCCGATCGTTATACCAATGCTGTAACCAAATAATCCCTGCCAGGTCGCGTTATACAGTTATATCCTAAACGAAATTAAGGGAAGGTTACGTACGGGTAGGTACAAAAATAACTTCTATGGAATTCTCTATTATTTTGTCTGAATAGGGACAGTGAGCCGTAACAAGGCCATACATGTACACTGCACACTGTATCTGTGGGGATATAATTCGAACATATTTCATTGCAAATAAACATATTTTGAAAACGAATCGGACACAAGTTTTACCAACTTACTAAAGTCCTCTCCGACAACAAACATAGGATTACAATACATATCACGCGATGTTAGATCGACTTAAATATACCTTTTAGGAAAGCAAATATGTATGAAAAGAAAGAATTATAGTAAAGAGAGGGGACAAAGAAAAGGTGGGGATACTTATGAAAAATATCGGACACAGCTACATTTTTGTAACATTAGTTTTATTGCATGTAGGGACCTGCCCATTATATATTTTCCTATATATGATGAATTATCTGAGATACATGCATAATATAAGATACATGTACAAAATAAAGTGTATGTATTTGTACATATTTTAACATTTATGCCAATTCGCGATAAGAGCTAGTTACATGTAATTGATCGTTATATCTCGTATCTGCAAATATTCTTTACACATTTAAAGCAAATGGTATGTAATCTATTTCGTTATTCGGCTTACTCGAATCTGGCTTGAAGCAATTCGCGGAAATAAAAATGATCGCAAATATGAAGAATGTGTTATTTGTAGTCCAATACATATGGAGCACATATGCTTTCCATAGTATTTTTCAACGTATATTATATAACAGTCGTAACCATGAACGATGAATCGTGTTATTGTAGTTAAATCAGCGTCAAACAGGGGGCAACACCAACAAGAGAAAGGACCGTGCGACGGGAATTGAACTTCGAGCAATGACCATGCTACATGTAGTACTACCTGAAGAAAGGGCCGTCAGGCGCGGAGCCTCGGGGTTACAATTACCACTAGCCTATTACAGCATGCTACATGCGCTTAAAAATTCGTTATCCCGAAATAATTTGATCGAGACACACGGTATTCGAAATAGCGGCAGCAATTATGAATGCACGCTGGAATAAACTACCATGTGATCTATAGATAATTTCGATTTAAACTGCCGGGTGATTCGAATAAATCAAAGTTCATGGTAACAAAGGTCGACTTAAGTGTTGCACATGCCGACACGTGACAAGATATTTCATTTGTTTGACATAACAGTCTAACAATGTAGCAATAAAATGTACCCGTCTACCAAATATCACTGCTCCTTACAATACAGCGAAACCTCACTAATCTGGACACGATTTGGTATCATATGTAGTTCCGGTTTATCGAGTTTTACGGATAAACGGGTAAACCAATGTACTTTAATTTGTAAAAGAAGGTTGTTTATGTTCACATGTCGATGCTAGATACTAATATGAAGAATGTATAGTATTGTTGACCTTGAATGAATTTAATTAGATAATGTGTCATCATATATATTCACAAGACCGGAAATGCTGACTAAGCCGAGACCAACGGCGGAAACAGCCGGCGATTACCGATAACGGGAACGGACAAAGACGATGGTACGGATTTGAGGAGTCGTTTATTCTTATCGCGACCTCCATAACTGGCTCCATGAAAAACAAAAAGGCCGAAAGAAAGAAAGTCGCGCTGGTTCTTTTTATGAGTAAAAACCAGACAGGATTCAACTTTATTTCATGTAAGAAAATCCAAAATTGCTGCCAATTTTTGTAATTTGTCATCATTCCTGTATATCAATTAGAATGAAACAAAAATTGGAGAATCACACAAGCATTTGATTCATTTTGTGTTATTTTATTTTTAAATGTACTGTAATGGGTGTATTACTCCATTTGAAACGATCCCTCGAATCTTCAAGTCCGGATCCGACGATCGACCATTATTGATGTTAGAATGTTCCTTCGAACTCGTATCATTTATATGGCGATTTCGTTGTTAAAGGAAAATACAAGAACAGTACTCGCTAAAATACAGAATTGGTTTTAAACTCATCACATTAAGGTTTAGTAACATGACTGTTTAGCATAACCTTAGAGATGAAGTCATAATGAAGATTTGTGTTTAAGATTACTGATTTTACAGTGCTTATCATTTTAAAAAATCCCTGTTAGAAAGCTATGATCTTTAACAGTGTCACCTGTCTAAACTGAACCTAAAATAATACAGAAACCTGTATAAAGTGGACCTAGACTACTAGATTCCCTGTACTGAAAACATTTTCATGATAATGAAATTTTGTGTCATCCGAAAACCTATGTACATACCGGATATAAAGTTGTATATGATTTGGTGTAAGGTTTCAACAACCGGTTTCGACAGGTTACACTGTATTTTAGGACTTAACTTAGTATGATCTATCCTTTGTTCAGCGCACCGCCGCCAGACACAATGCATATACATTTACTTATCACGTTAACTGTCACTGTCAATCAGAGTTCAGCAGAATATTAAAAAAAAAATGTTTCCTACAATAATTCATTATCATTTCTAAATATAGATATATTGGAACCTTTTAAACCCGGAAACATTCCTGAGAATAATTCTGGAATTAAAATACATGTATTCCTGAGCGAGACATTATGTGACACGTTGTTGTATTCCAGTGTCTGTGAAACAGACTTCCGGACTACGGAGGTTTCTGTTTTCTTGAATGGGTCACAGGAATGGACCAGAAACAGTTTATGTAATAGAGTTATATGTGTATTGAAAACAAATGTTTTATTACGAAAAATAAAATATTTTCTTTATCAAATGAAATAAGTGTTGTTTATCATTAGGACGCTGTTTTAGTCATCTTTTGAAGAATATAAATGTATTCGGGGCACCTCAGACTTTACCATCATACCATGTGGATTAGTTCGTCTATCCTCTTGCCTTATTACTGAAATTGACGTATTTTGAATTAGATTCTCATATCAAAAAGTGGAGCGTACAAACAATCCGCAGTGTGGCTATTAAGTTACCTTCAGTAGTTTGAGGAAAATCTATAAATATTAATCGATAGTTTATGATTTAATTTCTTTAAAAGCTTACTGAAAGTCCTATCTACTAGAAGTATTTAAATCAATAAATAATAAATTAAAAAATAAATGATTAGGTGATTTAATTTCTTTAAAAGCTTACTGAAAGTCCTATCTACTAGAATCATACAACTATATAGTTTGAAGTTATCATACATGTATGAAGACCCCCGCACAAGCTAGAGCGGTACGGTGTTGACATGGCTCGAGGGTTGTTATCGTTCGGGGGTTGCTATGACTAAAGGGTTGGTATCGGTTGAGTGTTGATATGGCTCGAGGTTGATATCAGTCAAGGGTTGATAAGGCTCGAGAAATGATATTGGTCGATGGTTCGTATGACTCGAGGGTTGATATAGCGGTTGAGTGTTGATATGGGTCGAGGATTGATATGGATCGAGGGTTGAAATGGCTCGAGGGTTGATATCGGCCGAGGTTAATATCGCTCGAGGGTTGCTATGGCTCGATGGTTGATATCGCTCGAGGGTTGATATGACTAGAGGGTGGAAAAAGTTCGAGGGTTGATACTGGCCGAGGATGGATATGGGGTAGAATATTGAATATGTTCTTAACAGAAGCAGTCTATTTAAACGTCATCTGCAGTTATGAATAAAAAGGCATTTTTCGATTCGTTTAGCTCATATTCCAAATTTATGCATTTTGGTGCATTTTTCTTGATAATATTAATCTTTTAATTGTCACTTTGTAATTAATGAAAAATTAAATTCAAACCAAATTAGATACATTTACCATCTGAAACCTATTATTGGATATGGAAATGTAAACGGGTATCAACCAATATCATAGACGTAGATATTAATGTACCGTTATAGATGTCGACTACTGACGGGCAAGCTGACAACACAAGTTTTTCAAAGATGTAGGTTGATGAAGACCATGACCAAGACTTGAGAAATAATCTCTTTGTGTGAAATAGAGGACAGTGTTAATATCATGGACCTCGCTTTAAGGGTGAGACATCAATTGGATTTAACCGAAATTCACATGTCATGGATGAAGCAGAAGGCGCTTACCCTTCCGGAACGCCTGGTCCTATTATCCTTGTACTGTAACAAGGATCTCTCTCTATATTTTACTTTGCTGACACTTAGATACTCTCCTGCTGTTCTATTTTACACAGTGCCAAAGTCGCCTTACGTACAAGCTTCGTCTGAGTTTCCCTTTGTCTCAGTGGTAGAGTGTCGGCCAAAAAAGTATCTGGTTACTGGTTCCATCGCTATCATAGAAACGCTTTCTTTACTACTTACATTGTAACTTCCCATTAAACCTGACAAATCATGTACAAAAGCCTCACAGTAGTGCTTGGTTTTCCATAGGCTGGTCTATAATATTCCATGACAAGAAACAATATTAGCGGTTCCCTATGATAGCTAGATATTGCAAGTATAGCAGTGGGTGGCCTGGGCAGTCCCAAGCTCCAGTTAGTGGCCAAGACGCAAGACTAGGCGATAAAACGTAAACGAGAAATGAGGGAAAAGATATTCCAATCGATACATTTGCATTTCGATTGGAATCTATCAAAAGTATTATGTAAGATTTTATAAACTTATTACGTCTATGCAGTGCTGACCTGGATTGGGTAGTGTATCGGCTGTATTGGCGCCTCTAGTGTGTGACAAATCCCCATACACAAACCAATACAACTACGGAAATATTGAGCGCCGCCTATAACAGCATGACTGGTAACATGAATACATACGGAAGCCCTGAGTGGACGTAACAAAGCGATGAAATACAGCGACAGAAGCAACACCAACCCCTACCCAGACCCAGTCTGAGTGTTACAGCTAAATAACACTGGTCGGGAAGCAAGGAGAGGGGACAGACGGAGAGCATTGTTTGGTGGATGGTTTTACGTCCGCTTCACTTATGAGTAGTTCGGTAAGGAGTAGAAGGGCTACAGTGAGGTAGATTTTAATAGCACATACATTTTTGTAAGATCACTGTCGTCTTCTTACTTCGATTCGCACTAGAAGGAATTTCCCTTTAGCTCAGTGGTAGAGCGTCCGTCAATGAAGTCTGGGATCGCGGGTTTGATTCCCGTTGGAGACACACTACTCTCTTTCCTGTTACAAATGTGTCCGCGGCTCTTCCTGTGGTGACAGGGAGTAAGGACCTAGGTTTTTGTGGTTTTCGAGGGCGAACACGTTTAAAAACAGGGGGAGGGGTGGGGTGGATAGTATGGATATTTAAGTGTGCGGAGGATTACGGTAGCCTTCTAGTTTTGCGCTAGTGGGAAGTTGCTTTTAGTTCAGTGGTAGGGCGTCCGTCAATGAAGGCTGGGGTCGCAGGTTCGATCACTGATGGAAGCATAATACTCCTTTTCCTGTTTCAATAGAATGCAGTAAAGGGATATAAATGGATGAGCGGAGAAAGACAAAGAGCAATCCATCAATCCCTTTTATCTTACCATTTGATATGTCCCCTTTACACGTACATTTGTAAGTGATTTAGTCCATTCCGGAGGTATGACGGCTGAAAATATGATTTTATACGCCTTCCTTGACACTACTTTACATTTTGGCTTTATAACAGAACGTTTGCCCATGTAAGGAAGACAATAGATGCTTTCCCCAGGCCGGGTAACAACTGGTTTACCCGTTTCAAATATAATGTAACCGAGTGGATTTCTGAG